GAGTGTCCCACAAGAGTGTCCTACAAGAGTGTCCCACAAGAGTGTCCCACAAGAGTGTCCTACAAGAGTGTCCCGCAAGAGTGTCCCACAAGAGTGTTCCAGAAGACTGTCCTACAAGAGTGTCCCGGAAGAGTGTCTCACAAGAGTGTCCCTTAAGAGTGCCCTACAAGAGTTTCCTGCAAGAGTGTCCCACAAGAGTGTCCTACAAGAGTGTCCTACAAGAGTGTCCCACAAGAGTTTCCTACAAGAGTGTCACGCAAGAGTGTCCCACAAGAGTGTCCTACAAGAGTATCCCACAAGAGTATCCCACAAGAGTGTCCCACAAGAGTGTCCTACAAGAGTGTTCCACAAGAGTGTCCTACAAGAGTGTCCCACGAGAGTGTCCTACAAGAGTGTCCCACAAGAGTGTCCTACAAGAGTGCCTTTCAGGAGTGTCCCACAAGAGTGTCCTGTAAGAGTGTTCCACAAGAGTGTCCTACAAGAAGAGTGACCCACAAGAGTATCCTACAAGAGTGTCCCACAAGAGTGTCCTACAAGAGTGTCATTTGGACATATCTAGCTTTTCGAACGTGTTTGCATTCGGGTTCGTGGGCTCCATCTTTTTTTTCTATGGACTTGTTGGCTCGACAGCAGTGATCGCCATTTTGCTGTGGAAGTTTCTCGTGACCGTGATCGGTAGTCTCGGCAAAGCTATGAGCAACCTGATGGAGAGCAAGAATCAGGTTGAGAAAGACACCATGACATTGACGACCACGACGGCATCCATGGCCGCAGCGCTCCAAGAGAAGATCAATGAGCTCACAGAAGCCCTGAAGGAACAAGAAGAGGAGACAGAGCATGTGCGCCGCACGATGATCCACGAGATCAAGGTCCGCGACAAGGACATCATCGAGCTCCAGCAAAAGCTCAAGGACACGAAAACCATTTTGGAAGATCGTGACATCGAGCTGCATGAAGTGCGAAGGACTATGGCATGTGAGATTGATGGCCGCAACAAGCGGAACACGGCACTTCACCGAGAGCTGGAGCATAGTGTGAAGGAGAATGAAGAACTGAAGCGTGTGAAAGGCCAGAACATGTATCTTTCAGACTTGATCGACGAATATGGTCGCAAGTCCCCACTTGGAAAGGAAGTGCACATCACCGGACATGGCACTGTTTTCCATGTGAACCGCTCCTGTTCCAAACTGAAGGTTGCAAAGAGCATCATGACCTACCGAGCTTGTGATGTATGTTCATATGCTCCCACAAACATGTTGAATACTTCAGCTAGCTCAGGCAGCCTCACGAGCAAGAGCGGAATGAAGATTTGAACGCATGCTCACGTACAGATTTGAGCTTGACCGCAGGTGCACCTTTTCGCAGTTCAAAAGTATCGCTACCAAGTGATTGCTTGTTGGAAAATGCGACCTCTTTTGGTCGCAGGATAGTATCATCATTTAAGATTGCGGATAGTTTGAAGTTTGAAGGGTTCGAACACAAACGCGCACACCTGTGCTCCATGCTTGTACCGCTTCAATATTTGTTGAGTGATGAAAGGGCGATTCATTGCTCAAGGCATGCGTTGTCAGGCATTGTCATTGTCATGCAACTCTTTTCCGGGGAGGTTCTGTTGAATCAAACGAGGACATGGCAAACCAGCATGTTCGCACCAGTTTCCGCTGTAAACCGACATTGCGATGTTGGTCACGACTTGGTTGAAATCAGTTTCCTTGCAGATTATGACCATGGTCCTCGAACTCAGTGTGGCGCTGTATGTTTCATTCACAGTCGCACTCAATATGGGTTGGCTGATTATATAACTCAACAGCTTGCAGCTTGTAAAAAAAAGGCATTGGCATAGAAACTGCAGCTGAAGATCGACTGGTATAGAACATAAAGCACACAAGACACATGCTCTTGATTCAGTAATTGCCGTTGTCGTCCAGTGGCTGATACTGCTAAGGGGAGCAGAGCTGATCGCTGGTGTTTAGGCTCTACCATTGCTGCTTGTACGGCTTGTAGGGTGATCGCAAACATCTTTTCAAAGTATCCGCACCGATACACCGATCCGTCAGATGGTACCTTCGAGATACACCAATCACCAATCTAATATACCTCCGGGGAACATATAAAACATACAGGGCCTAAAACAGCATTCCCTAGTTGTATGAGCTTATGACCAAAAATATCATCCTGCCTTTGAAGATGTTTCAGGCCCACCACATTGAGACTCTTGACCCAGTGGGTAGCCGAATTGGAAGGCTCTTGTGTGAATGAGAGGGTGTTTGAGGAGTGTTGCGACGGTGAGACCCATTGAGAAACCAGAGTCAAAAGTCTATGCCACGATTCTAAACTGGGAAGACCTTGTAAGCGCAAGTAAGCAAAGGGGTCTCACTTGAGGGATTCTCGAAGCGTGTGCATGCTGGCGGACGCGGTGGCTTCAGAACTGAATTACCTGTCTATCGTTCATGGAGTGAACGAGAATGACAGATTTCCCGGAAACTTGTGCTTCTGAGGCTACATGCAGAAAGCAAAAGCGGTTGGATGGGTGTATTTTCTGAAGTCTTGCGCAGCATGTTCTATATTAGAACATTTATAAATATATAGTTACATGCAGTTAATTAATGTGCATTGTACATAATATGATCTGCATTATATGAAGGACTTTGGCCCGGCGAGTGCCCTGGTCCACACCTTAAAGGTCTGAGTCTTTTGGTGCATCCTGGGGTCAGCGTCACAGGGCAGTGCATGGGAGTACTGGCGCATGGTGCAGGGGTAATAGCGCTGCCCCAGCACTCCTCCATGCCTTCCCCATGTGAGATATTAACAAAATCTTAGCGTTCAGTTCGATATATTATATATAGTATATATATATATACATGAAAAGGTTGCATTGCAGGGAGTGAGAATTTGCACAGGGCTTGGAAAACGAAACGAAGCTGGAAGTCCCAAAACACGCGTCCTTGTGGGACTCTCCTTTTCGATTGCCTTGTCTTCAGGGTAACGGAGTGACTTGGAACGAAGCCTAGACGAAGCCCCAAGCAAAACAAAAGACCTTGGCCGACCTTGGCCCAAGTGCCCCGACAAGATATTAGAATCCTTTGTGCTGCGCACTCTTGAATGATGATGTGGTGCTGTGCTCAACATTGAACATTAAGGTGATAATCTGCTTCAATTGTGAACGCACAGGGCATAGTACCAAGACTGGTGCCAATCTTTGGAAAAAAAGAACCTGGAAGACCCAAAAAGATACGTAAGTAGATAAGACAAATGTTTGTAAAAACTATTCACTTTGATGCCGCTCATGTACTGGCTTATCGGCGCCCATGCTTTGCCCAATCTCACCGTGTATCGGCATATCGGTGCTTTTGCGTTAACTGGAGCCTCCAGCTTCCACTGATCGGTGCATCGGCACATTTTGATTTGACATGCTTTCCATGCACGATGGATGGCTAATCTGGACTGTCCATGGTTCGTTTCATGCTCCTTATTCTCGCATGTGCATCATGTGCACTGTATCAGTCAAAAGGCATGTGGATTGCACGCGTTTCCATTCATTTCCATTCTTCTTTTTTAACTCGTTTTTCATAATATGTGTAGTATATAAATATATTTGCGTGTACAAATATAAGTATAAATATAAAAAAAGTTATATTATCCACATTGTTTCAGAACTTGTGCTCAAGAAGCTGGGGGTTGTGAGGCGTTGAGCAATCGTAGTGACTGCCTCTCCTTCGCCATACAAGCAGAGGGATCTGGCTGCTTGCCAGCATGCAAACACCTTTTCACGTGCACATTTGCAGTATATATTTTGAGATTCCAGGCAACCTTTTAGCACTGCAAGTTTGTGGATCTCCAATGCGCCGGCCAACAAAAGCGGAGCTTCGTTTGCGGCTTTGGCTGGCAGCTCGCACGGTGGAAAGCAACACCACCTGCCCATTTCGTGTCTCACGCCTTGTTGCGAAGGGACTCCAGCAAATTCAGATCCGCGGAAAACGTGTGTGAGCAGCGATCAGCATACTGTAAACAAAAGGAGGCCAATGAGGATAATGAGGTGCGAAGCACCAACATGAAAACTGAGAATGAACCATGCCAATAGCTAAGCTCTCGCCCTCCGCCTTGCCAACATGATATGAAAGATCAATCACACCAACACGGTTTCATGAGCTGCATAGATGGTTCAAAGTAGTGACGGAGACATTGCCATATTTCTTTGTTGCCCTGGTGATTGCTGTGGCTCAAACATAGTTTCGATCATTGTGTGCCTGTTTGCATGCAAGAAACGGAAGGGCTGCAAATGTCCAGCCCTTCAAGCGGAAGCTCGAGAGATAGCCGGGAGAGCCGCGAAAGCTCGCGAGAGGCAGGGGCGGCGGGACTGTGACACACAATAAACAACTGACCTCAAACCTAATAGCAATGGCCTCCAATAAGCAACGGACCTAAAAATGTGTTTGGGTCACACTTGAATAGAAAGGCCTCCGACGGGAATCCAGCTTCGAGGTAGGTTTGGTAGACCCACTTTTCACGGCCCACTTTGCGGCAGCATTGTGCCACCAGCCGACTACCGACCTTGCTCGATAGCAGGCATTCGACGAATCCGGCAGTGCTCCTGCTGAGCCTGCTGCAGAGCAAAACGATGAACCAGGCTTGTCATTGGAGGACGTGCTGCAGAAGTACAATCTAGTGGCTGGTCTGAAATTGGGGGAGTTCCAGGTCCAGAGCACCGGGCTGAAACTAATTATTTATTATCAAATATTGGGTTCCTGCCTGAGATTGTTCCCTTGCCTGAAAATTTCAAAACAGCCCACTACAGTTGGAGCAAGATTTTGAGCATGTCGGCCATGTCAGCCTTAAACTATCGCGGCAAGAGATCCCAAACACTCACTTCTTGAGCCTCAAGACTCAAGGCGCACCTGGATGAATGGTCATGTACTTTTCCCAATCATTTGTAGCTTGTCAGGCAAGGCCAATTCCAGGGTGGAGTGTGCTAATGTTCCAAAAAGATGGATGTCTTTGCTGCGGTCTCCTTTAGTTCGTGAAGTTGTGCAACAGGCCAGATTGCAGGCCCCTGGAAAAGGCATTTCGAGAGGGGCGTGCCTTGAGTCTTGGCGCTTGCGTGGGGCGCCGCTGAAATGCGGTTGCAAGACATGCGCAGCTCTCAGCGGCCGTGATGTCCAGACTCTGGATGAGGTGGAAAGGAAAAAACATGTAGAGTTCACTCCGGTCACCCTTTCGTATGTGCATGGTGCCGGTTCTGTGGCTGTCTCACAGCACAGCAACTCTTGCAACGCTGTATCACTCTGTGTTACACGTGCTGAATCTGTCGATCTGCTCTTTCGGCTGCTTCTCTGTCGGGCTGGAGATGACACCATGCGGCTCCGGCAAGCTTCCATGGCTTCTGTTGTGTAGCTCTCATATCCAGTGGCTTGCATTGTCCAGATCCCCCTGCATGTTTTGCTTCTGGTTCTTGAGGCCTTTAAGTATGCCTTCACCGCACAACATTCACCATACGTGCTACATGCCCAGGCCCAATCTCCTGTAAAGGGTACCCGGCTGACACCAAAACAAATTGGTTTCTGTCCCTTCATCAGCTTTTCTTTGGGGGCGTGAGGGGTGATGTGGTTTCTTCCTAAATCGTTTTACCCAGACCCTTAGGCCTTTGCATTTTTGTTTTCATCCAACCATCAGCGGCTGAAATTTGCTTCTTGCCAAAGCTGCTGTTGAAAGCCCGGTGGCACCTTACACTTGTAACCCGCACCAGCAACACCAAACACAACAGTGCAGTGACGTTTCATCCTCGCACTAACGGGCCATTGCACAAACCCACGTCGCATGCAAATTGGAGTCCAAAATCTGAAGATCAAGTGAAATATAGCCGCTTACGCCTGACAGCCGGGCGCCGGGAAGGGAAAAAGGTGCTATGGCTATGTATATGTGTATGTCGAGGATTGTAGAGGCATCTAGCTAGGCAATAGTGGGATGTAGAGGAAAGGGGTAAATGGTTGGGATGCAGGGCGGGGGGGAAGTAGGAAGAAGAAAGGAAGGGAAGAGGTTCGCACTATGTGGTGATTGTGGTTTATGTTAAGTGGTAGTGATACGTAGTAGTAGCAGTAGCAGGAGTAGTAGTAGTAGTAGTAGAAGATGCGTGGCAACCCGGGTGGCAATAGTCGCGCCACCAACACCTCTTGAGAGCTATGTGTGCAGCTCGACGCGGCTTGTCTGAACTTCAACGTAAAACAACAAAAATTAGCTTGCCTGCAGGCGTGCGTGGTTTAACTTCTGACACTATCAGAAGCCCTCGGGTGGCGTGGCCAGCTCCCGGATTTAGAGGCGCCTGACAGCCGCGACGGCCGCACACCGGCCAGAGCTAGCTCTCTCTCTCTCTCTATATATATATATATAGAGGTGGGTTGCATGGGGGGAGACAAGAAGAAATTAAGTTGATAATCTATATATCCATGATAATCTAGGTGGTAGTTAGGCGTTAGGAGATAAAAGGTAGGGGGATGCATAGGGAGAGTGAGGGAGTAGGAAGAAGAAAGGAAGGGGAAGCGGCTTGCGATGTTATTGTTATGGTGGTTGCGACTTAGGTTGTAGTGGTGAGAGTTGTCGGAGGTGTTGTGGTGGTAGCGCATGTAGAGTCTATGTACTACCGTGCTGGCATGTAGCCAAAGGTCAGGTGAGCCGTCGTGTGAAGATGGAAGCAAGCGAAGCGCGAAGCCTGCACTGGGACGGTTCCTGAGGAGAGAGCAGACAGGAAGCAGAGAGGGTGGATGCTGCGCACCCCGTGTGAAACTTTCTAGCAAAAGGAGGACGGAGCAACCCTCGCTGTGAACCTTGCAGGATTGGGTGAAGCTATGCCAGAAGACCAATGCCACTCTGCTGGCGGTTGTTCTTGTTGTTGGTGGTGGTTTGTTGGTTGTGGTTGTGGTTCTTGTTGTGGTGTTGGTGGGTGTCGTTGCGAATGTTGTGATGAATGTAGTGGTTGAAAAAACGGGGACATGCATGTATGTATGGATGGATGCATGTCCATGCGTGTCTCTAGCCAACAAACGAACAGAATGAAAAAAATGCGTGGCAACACGAATGGCATACAGCTATGCAGAGCTATGTGTAGCCATGCGCACCACAAAGCAGGCCCGTGGCTGGCGCCCGGATCTCTAAGGCGGCAGTGCCCGTGGTTTTGAGTTTATTGCATGAATATGTCACCGCTAGCAACATGCTCAGATTGTGTAATTAGATATGGGCAGTTACAATTTGTTGTTCCTATTGCAAACGAAACTTGTAAATAGCGCGTTTGTTTCAGGGATGGCCGATATACAAAAACATCGGTATTCACAAAGCAACCTTGCTGAAAAAAGGTCGGCAACCGTCGGTATCTAGTTGTTTTTTTTCGGTAGGCCAGCGCCTGATACAGGAGGAAACTGGTGTTTATTGGGCTTGGGCGCACGCACGTGCTGGACCGCAGCACGTACAGTCCCTACGTGGAAAGGGATCAGTCCGGATTTCCCTACCAAGTGCGTAGATAGCAGGGTTCCCAGGCCATTTCCTGGGTAACACATGTTTTTAGGACAAAATCTTGCTGGTCCGAAGCGAAAAAAGAGTTTGCACACCTCATCATTTGTTGTCTTGGCGCTTGAGCCCATTATACGCTCATATTGCTGCACGTTCACCTTTGCCATCACATCGTCTTTTCTGAATCCCAAACGACTTTTCAGCGTTTGTGCATTTTTTTGCCTTTTTGCTGAGTGTCCCTAGGTTGTATTTGCACTTCACTCTGGAAAAAATCATGCTGCTTTTGAATTGAGTGCACCATCTGTCTCAGGAACGATTTCAAGAATGTAGCGATGCCCTATTTGAAAAGGTCGAGTTCCCAAAAGAGATGGTGAGTGCAGTCCATTGGCTGCATTATAGTGTCGCTGCACTGCTTTTTTTGTTGGCGGGGTGCGAGCAGGTAGACCTGTTGATGTCCATGGCAGTCTCGACTAGTCTATCAATCGTGCAAATGCGAGTCGCATGAGGTTCATGAAATGTGGCAAGCCTGGGGAGCTCAAACTGGTTGTAAAGAAACTCGAGGAGAGGCATTTTACACCATGCTCTTCGATGCGGCTCCAAGCTTGCAACTACTCTTCAAGAATCCCAAGGCGGTTACCGTGGCTAGGCTGCAGGTATGGCGGGCTGATGTGTCAGACATTTAGGGAACCAATATATAGAATTATATATATATGTGAACCTGCGGTGCAAGAGGCTAATACATACAAATGACTTGTCCTCAAAAGTTGCTCTGATTACTATTGTGTAAGAGCGCTGCATTCAAATGCTGGCATGTTCCGAACCCTGGCAAACGATAGGGGGCTCACAAAAAGAGATACCCTTTAACAAGGTTCCAAACCATTGGGAAACAATAGGGGGCTCACAAATTTGATGATGCAATAGCCGCACACAATGAATTTTGACCGTACCTCAAACAATATGGATGATTTGGTATTGTAATGGCAAATCGCCAGCGAATTTGCTTGTGGCACGGAGGCCATGCGATTCATGGAGGGACTGGGAAGTTTGGTGAGTGTCATGGGCAAGCCAGTCGCACTTTTCAAAGAAGTTGAAGGAATTGGTTTCAGACACCTGGACCTCGATGTTACAAGTGACTTGGCTAACTCCTTTGAACTATTTGCTCGCTTCGGATGATTGATGGCAAACGGTGCAACTGAGCAACCAACTTTGGAAGATTGATGGCTTACTCCTGAATTCGATACTGTAAAACTGCAAAGCTCTCCGAAGAGTTCACAATTCTGATCGAATTGCGAAAAGGATTCGCCTTTCAAGTGCTTTTACAAATGTGCAGAGACGCCTGTGACCTCGCATTCTTTACATCACCAATTCAATTGCGGAAGTTTGACCACGAACTACTAGGAGCAAGGACGCTACTAGGGGCTCCTGGCATGGCTACTAGTAACAAGAAGCTACTAGGGCTCCTGGCCTAACTGCTAGGAGCAAGGACGCTACTAGGGGCTCCTGGCATCGCTACTCTGGCAGTGGTAGTTGGCCAACTCAGGTATCAGGGCCGGATTCTTTCGAGAAGCCCTTTTAGAAGCAATCGAAGAAGTCTTGGGCAATAATTTCAGCATGTTGGCAAGGGCCGGTGTGCACTGCTTGCTCAATTATACAGGTGCGTGCCATTGAAGCGTTGAAGGGTTTTATTCGACGGGTTTGATTTCCAGGTTTGTAGGCATTTTCTGCTGGGCGGTAGGCTGGTAGCTTTGAGGTTTATATCCGCGTTGTGGGGTGAGCAGGCATAAAGCGACAGACGTGTTGAGAAAACATGAGAAAACTTAATGGCACACAATGGAAACGAAAGGCTGGCTGGCAACCAACAGACTTGATCCAATCTGCTGTGGCTTCTGGGTGTGGAAATTGACAGCCAGTAGCCTTCGGCGATGTACGCTGTCCGGCCTGGTTGTTGATGTCACCGTGCCACACCTATTGAATTCCTACAGCAACAGTATCAGCAAAAGGTTAAGTTTGGACGCGGGAGTGTGCGAAGCCTGTGTGGAAGCCTTTGTAGAATCACCTCCACAATCATCCCAAATAATGTAAAGTCGTGATTAATAAACCTCCCCTAGTTAATCCGAGCCCACAAAGCCCCCGAGATTGCCCAAATCAAAAGTAGTATTGGCAGTATTGGTATGTATTGGTGGCTTATTTCCCCCTAATTGTCTAGCGAGCCCACAACCAGGTAATTGTTTCTCATTATTTCGACTATTACTGCTACTGCTGCTACTACGACGACGACTACTACTAGTACTACTGCTGCTGCTGCTGCGGCAACTACTACGGCTACTGCTGCTACTGCTACTGCTGCTCCTCCTCCTACTCCTACTACTACTGCTACTGCTACTCGGCTTCTGCTACTGCTACCACTACCTACTAAACTACCAACTACCTACTACTGACCTTCCGATGAAACCGAACCCCCAAAAATGCCTAGGGTTCAGTGCCTACAACAGCAACTACTACTGCTACTACTACTACTCCTCCTCGCTTCTGAGCCGGTTAGCAGATTATTCAGGGGAGGTGGACCTCAAGAGTGGTATCTCATGTCTTCTTGACCTTGTTGACCTGGGATGGCGGGGGTTTATTAATCAGGTCTTTACGTTTATATCATATATCCAAATATATTGAGGAGACAAGCCTTTGAACCGATCATCACTCATGATAAATTATGCCATGAACCCAGCAGATAATAGCCTCTATGTGTACTTTTGCCAGGAGGAGCCTTCATATACATTCGTCGGGAATACGCTGGTCGTATCAAAACAATCATGACAAGCTGGAACATTGTCCAAAAGTCTGCCATGGAGGCCTGGTTTGAAAGTGCATTGAACCCGGCCAGCCAAATCATGCAAATCGGTCATGTCAGGCTCAGCAACAGGACCGCCCCAAGAGTGTTTTTTGGGTCGAGGTCGAGGTGTGCCGAAATTCAGTTGCACAGACCTCTAATATATATATATATTATTTGAGTCAGTCAGGAGGAGGAGGAGCAGACCCGTGATGAAGATGAAACGACTTCAGTGGAGAAGAAGGAAGCAAAAGACACAGAAAAGCTTCCTGAGAAGAAGACTGAGAAGTCCCAACCAATGAATCAAGCTGGTCAGGGTCCAGCTGTGCCCGAGGCAGGTGCCTCTGGCGAGGGGATCGCTGAGGATAAAGCAATGAAAGTCCCGACTACATTCAACGAAATGCTTCTCTTCAACGCATCTGTGATGGGCTATGGCAACAGCGCTTGGATGAGTATTGTACTGCTCCAGTTCGACGACATGGTGAGAAATGTTGCCAACTACACGCGCTTGCAAGAAGAGTGCGATGTCATGTCGCTTGTGCTTGCCAAGTACCGCGGGAAGATCATCCTGCCTGAATTCAAAGCCGTGACGTTGGCATCTTTACGCTCCCTGTTGCCTCAGGAGCCACAATGATAGCTAACGACACTGGACCAAACTACTGGGCCAACCTGAAGCCTGAGTGTAATTAATTACTGGTGATGCATTTGAGGCACAAACTCTCTTGTGTTTTTGCCTAGTGACAGGATTGGGACACAGAGCATGAGATTGCATGGGGATGGCTTTGGGAAAACATTGAGTCGCTTTTGAGTGCGATGCTAGGCTGGGATTTGTTGGTCTTCTTTGCTTCAGCGGATTTGTTTGTCTTTTGTCAGTGTTCTTTACGACCAGACTGACCTTTTGCCTTTCAAGATTGCTTGAATTGAATAATGTAGTTGTCCACAGCGGCTCCTTGACAAGACTCAAACATGAGTTCCTGCAGTCCTGCAGCTGGAGGCAAGCCGCTATTGCAGGAACAAGCTCTGGAACGTTTCTTTTTGGGCATGCCTCCAGAGGAGAGCTGGGTGCATAACATCAGTTTGCCATCCAAAAGGTGGCTATGGTCCACTTGTCGATGCCTTTTAATCTTTGACTCGTACAGTACGGCATCAAAACACAATACCAGCACCTGGGTGTTCCCCTCGCTTTGCCTTGACTTGCAGTGCCATGCAATGAATCTATACGAGGTGCCAAAGTTTCTCGAATCTGGTTTTGTTGTACGGATTGACTACTCTACTCGTAGGAGATCTCGGAGTTCAGCGAAATCCTTATGCAACTTGTGTATCCCTACAGGAGGCGACCCAGCTGCGCGAGCAGCTCTTTCCATCTTTCTTCGCTTTGGCACCGGCTGGGCAGGATTCGTTTCGGTATGTTTCGGTAGTTGTCATCGCAAACCTTTGTGCAGCTCTATATGCGCCATAATATGCCATAATGCTAGTCGTTCATACCAGTCGAGGAATCTCCATGTGTTACATTCATTCCTAAAGGCATTAGTTCAGGTCATAAATGCAAAAAAAACAGTCATATCGGCAACTTGGCAGGACTTCCTGAAGCAATCAGCAACCCGCATCAATTTCATTGGAGACAAAGTCGTTGCCATGACCCTGGAAATGTATCGGGCACCACGGCGGATGGTCGAAGAGATCTCGGCTTTAGGGTTGAGGCATGTTGGGTATGCAATACCCACCGAAATGCTGCTCGGCCGGGGTATGCTAAAAGACTCCGGAATAGCCGGACAACCTCTTGAACTGCAAATGTCCCGTATGATCACATTGACATGCATCCAATGTGCACATGCATTTACAGTGAGATAACTTACATAGATAACACATTGAACATTGTGTGTTATTTTCTGTGTCCGATTCCTTGGCCACTGAACATGGGCAAGCACTAGCTAGAGCCACATGCGAAGCATGCTCCAGGTTCCCACCGTTCGTGTCTGCTGGAGTTGCACTTATGCAATCTCACACAACTGATGAGTGCCTGGCCGGAACGTACTGCGTTTAGGGCTTGCATTTTGTTGCCCCAAAATTTGGTTAGTTCATTATGGCATTTTAACTGAGAAGTTGAAGGCTTTTGGACTTCACTGTAAGTTTGCGGCGCTGCATTTTTGGGTTGGACAAACTGTCAATTTTCTCAGGATGGTCGTCGAGGCCTTTCGGTGGTCCCTAGCATTGATTGCAAAGATATTGGTGAGGACAATTTCTGAAGGATCTACCCTGGCTCCTTTGTCGCATAGATTAGTAGAGGCGGTGTGCTTGAAAGATCTACAGGCAGAAATCAGCACTTGGTTGTCCGTCTCGTGGTGTACAAGGTTATGAAAGCCATCAACACCAATCACAAGCTGACGCTCAAAAAGGTGCAAAATGAATGTACGTACCAAATCTCTGCCAATGAAACTCATTGCTTGTAACTATCAAGCACGGTTAGAGCCACAGCATCCCTGAAATCGATTGACCTTGGCCCGTCCTGCTTTCTCAACAGGCCATGGATGTTTCCTCCAGAGGTTCTTTGGCTTGCAAGCAGGTTTCGCTGAGGCTCACATGTCTCAAACCAGGATGCTTGTTTATTTTTTGGCCTGCGACTAAGGTCAAAGAGCAAATGATTTGCTTCGCATTACCGTAGGCACCCAGTCAATTTCACCCTTCTATTGGTCAATTGACAGTGGTGCCTTCGGCTTTCAGAGGGCTTTAATTTGACAACTTTGGCATGATGTTACTAAAGCTTTGAACATGAATTTCGGTCTCGAGCACTTTGTGCCAGCGCAGCCCAAGGAGGAGGTTTTGCACATTCTGTCTTGGATCTTGTAAAATGACTGCAGTAGCTGTTTGAATGCTTCCATCAAAGTCGGCTCTGCAAAAATGACATGGCTCTTGATGCTCTTGTAAATGCGGTTGGTGTGAGCTGTTTTGGGGACTGATCCAAGCCCAAGCAATTGCTTGCCTTGCTGCTTGAAATGCAAGCTTTGATAGATGGGTGGACTTGAGTGACGATGTTTTTCACAGTTGCTTTGAGTTCTAGGGTGTGAGGTTTGTCAGGCAATGTGTTACTTGTTTTTTAGTCATGCACCCTGACAGAAGTAAGGAACATGTAGTGATTTCAACTGTTCAATGTTTGAGTTCGTGCGACATACTGCGTGGAAAGGCCGAGAAGGGTCTTGGGATGTGGGAATGATCATTCTCGATCATGGACATGTGTGCTAGTCCCAGCCGCGCAAAGTCAGCTCTGAGGTGCTTTGGTATGTGCACAGACGATCCTAGAGGATTTGCTGACTATCCGTGCCGACCGTGCTAGCCTCGTTCACCGTTCAATGGTGGTTTGTTCCAGACCGTGTGTCAACGATGTTGGTGCGCCTGCCTTGTGTCATTCATCTCTGTCATTCAGCTCAAGGTGATGTGTACTACTACGGTTGTAATGACCTCTTCACTCGTCATCCAGAAGTGATGAAGCGCCTTTGTGTCAGTGCTCCAGTTTTGCTGGACACGCTCTTGAATGGCCTTGTTTGGCGGTCTCGGCAGACAAAAGAAGGCAGCCTTTGTCCGGAAGGGAAGACTTGGGAACATTTTGCTGTCTTCAACTGGGTTAATATATTCAACCAACTGTGTTGCCTCATGCTGGCGAAGTGTGCGAGATTGAACCGGAACTGAACTGTTGTTCGAGTAGTAGCGAAACAAAAATATATATATATAACTATATAAACTCACCAAAGGTTATGCATGTGATCTATATATATATATATATACAATTGCCATTGCATACAATTGCGAGAGATGCACATGTTGTTGTGCCTGCCTTAGAGTTTTTGGTATGTTGGTCACCTTGGTCCCTGGTTTCAGGCATGCGGAGGGTAAACTACTATGTGAAGCACTTGATACAGGACTTGTTGCGATGAATGACACAGAATGCTGCATTGGTAGTTCTACTGAATCTTGCAACATGCATGTTCATGTGTGTATTCAACATGCAGCCCACGCGTACCCATGCAGGACCTTGATGGCAATGCCAGTCCAAACCTAGAGTGGCTGGTGCAACATGGAGACCCGAACGTGATCCGACATCCAACGGTCATTCTCTTTGCAGACATCCTGTGGCACAGGGTTGCCAGTATGAAGTTTGTGGCCTCCAAGCTGTTCTCGGTGCTGATACTTATCGTCTTTGTCATCGGGCAGACAGTTTTGCTCCGCCACTCTTCTCAGCAGACGCCAGAGGAGGAGTACGTGATGTTTGCCTGTCGGATCGTCAATTATGTTGGAAGCTTGACCAAGCTGACCATCAGACACTTAGATTGATTCAATTCTGATCAATTCTGACATTTTATGAGAGAAAATCGAACATGGGCGCCTTTATGTTGTGGCGCGCCCAAAACTGGTCCCATCGACATAAGGAACTTTGCTTTTTGTCACTTTTTGTCACCGAGGTCAGTTGCGAAAGTTCTTCGCAGATGCACGAAATGGGGACTGCCGACGAATCTTCCGCATTCCGATCCCAGCATATTTGTTCAATCTTCAAGATGCTGCGAGCTGCTGCTTGCTGTGGATCCTGGTGATCATGTGCATGCAGGAGAGGTCTGAATCCGGTACACTGGACATATACACATGTTTCAACTTTAGCCTTAGCAACATAATTAATGCCCTCCGTTTTTGCATTGCTTGCTTCTTCGAAGCTTGGGGTATTCGGTATTCAGGCATAATGCCAAAGGTTTTTTGGTTGCAATACCAACCGCCTTTCAAACACGCCCTTCGGGCCCAGTTTCCAAAGTGGTTACCCAGGAACCCTCCCATTGGTAAGGTCGAAATTGCCTGAAATAGATCTTGCAATACTAATCCCTCTTCATGATGAGATTTTGTCTTTGGGATCCCTCCATTCATGGACCACCCTAGATGCCCTAGATCAATCTGAATCGTTTTAACCTGATTATTTGGTTCCCAGACGGTGGTGTCTATGGATCATGGGTTGACATTAGTAATTAGCGAGCAAATTCCGGAGAAGGCCCCAGAGCAGGGCATGGAGCAGGTTCAAGATGCCAAAGTTTAGATCTCGTAGCAGGTCGGGGGGTCCAGTGGAGTCGTGGAGGTTTCTGGGGAAGTTTTGGCACAGATCCCGGGGCCTCTTCATTCCTCAGGCTTCGGGCAATCCCACCTACCCATAACCGCTACAAGTTACTAAAGTCCACCGACTTTATCTTTCTTGGGGTTGGGGACATGCTTTGGCGGTTGTTGTTCAAATTTTCCTGGTCATGCGGGGTTTGGTGCTCCAACAAAATCAAAGGAATCAGGACAGGAAGCCTCCCCGTTGAGCTGAGTCTAAGTTGTAGACATGTCATAGCGTGGAAGCGTGTCGAACGATAACTCAGATGTGCTTTCCTTTATTGAGTAATGGAAAGCAAACTCATACCGTCATAAGTGTGCAAACACATGGATGCACATGCTAATTCGGTCGTACTCACAAACCTTGGTTCGTTGATGTTCGTTGGGTTCAGGGAAAGGGAGTAAAGTAACAGAGGATGAGAGCTGGAATGCTACTGCTACACTGTTTGCTACATGTTGTTTCATTCCAGCACGAGAGGCTGGCAACAAATCGCAAGTGCAAAGTGCACAGGGCCTTGCACCCTTCAGGCGAATACTCCAATGATTTATGAGGCTTACGCCTGACAGCCGGGCGCCGGCCCATTTGGGTTGGGTCCGCGCAGGGCCGGGTCCTCTCTCTCTCTCTCTCTCGCTCTCTCTCTCTCTCTCTCTCTGTTTGTCTCGCTGGGTGTCGCGGTCTTGCTTTGTCCCTCTCCCGCGCTATGTCTGCTGCCCTCGCTTTCCGTATCCCTCTCCCTGGCGCTGTATCTGCTTATTCTCTCTATGTCCGTTTCGCTGTTTCTTTCCCTCCCTCTCTCTCTCTGTCTGTCTGTCTGTCTGTCTGTCTGCCTCCCTGCCTGCGGCCCATCTTGGGGCTATGTTTCCCATATCTGGGACCTATGTAGGGCCATCTGGCGACAATGTGTCCCATATCTGGAACCTATGTTGGGTCATCTTGGGGGACATTTTCCGCCATTGATGTTGGAGCGCGCCCGACAGCCTGTCCGCGCGGCACGCATAACCGACACCACCCTCGAAAAACACAGCATTTTTATGCATTTTTGTAATTTGTCAAAAGGGTCGGCGGCAGGGGCGGCGACCGTATATAACCTTCGGTTACCATCCGAAGGCCTCCGGCAAGGACACGGGCCCGTGGCCGGCGCCCGGAATCTAATTGTAAGGGCTTCGCCCGGGTGCCGCCGACCCCTTTTCAGGAGGAGTGTAGCATGTGTAACTAAAGGCGTTTGTGTAGTTCCGGTGGTTGCCCGTCTGTGGAAAGAAGGAGGCTGAAGCTAGGGAGTGCAAGTACTATGAACGGTCGTGGTGGGCTGGGGTGCTGCAGGGGCAGTGGTTTTGACATGGGTTCCAATTGCCATCTGGCCAACAAAGGACAACGCACGCGGATCGGCGACCGTTTGTGAGGGCCTTGCCTGGCAGCTCAGAGCTGACCAGGTGAGGCTTGCGGTGATGCAGCCCAGGTGCTGACATCACTGCTTCTTACGAACGGTCGCTGGTCTGTGGGCGTGGTCCGGTGTTGGCACGGTGGCAGTTAGAATCCCTCAAGTCCACCGCGGACGAGCGATGAAAAGCTAACGTCCGTCCGTGGACGGAAGAGATGAGACGGAAGATGGGCGTGGACGGGGCTGAGGATAGAACAGGGAGGGGCGCGATGCGGGGCTAATGCCCGTCTGTGGACGGAAGATGGGCGTTCTAGCCTCAGGAGGCTGAAGGTAGGGAGTGCAAGTACTATGCACGGTCGTGGTGGGCTGGGGTGCTGCAGGGGCAGTGGTTTTGACATGACTTGATTCATTTGGACTTTGGGGATGCCAATGGTCATCTGGGCAACAAAGGACAACGCACGCGGACCGGCGACCGTTTGTGAGCTGTCTGGAGATGGGTGATTGGGTGAAAAAACAGGAAGCTCAGCCGAGGTGAAGACTCAGACACGCAAACCAAGCAACACACCCCAAAAGAGGTATAAGCACAGAGAGGGCAGACGTTTTCATGTGTACTTAAATCCAGCCAATGGGTCTTGGTCAGCAGGACCGTACCGTGTTTCACTTAAAAGCGTTTGTGTAGTGCAGGTGGTGCTCCTTGGTTCACGGCCGCCTCTTCGACTTTAAGAGGGAGCTTTGTGTCCTAGCCTCATGAGGCTCAAGCTAGGGAGTGCGAGGACTATGCACGGTCGCGGTGGGGTTTTGACATGACTTGATTAAGTTGGACTTTGGGGATTCCAATGGCCATCTCGCCAACAAAGGACAATGCACGCGGAGCGGCGACCGTTTGTGAGGGCCCTGCCACCCAGAAACGACACCTTGGCCACAGCGACGCACCCTGGCCCTGAAGGACACAACGGCGCCAGCCATGGCCAGCCAAAATGCTTAGGCTGCGTTGCTGGTTTGCGGCCATGCCTAGGCTGCGTGGCCTCGGACAGGCTAGCTGTGGCCTGTGCTAAAGCCCACAAAGGTGGAGATGCCAATGCCAAGGTTGCACCCTGCGGTGTCTCAGGCGCCTCCCGCCTCGGCTGCGGCTAGGCTGGGGTCGGCGGATTATATACTATGTATAGTTATATAGATTCAGTACTAGACTTGCCACAAATAGATGACGTAGATATACTCCAAGGTGAGCGGCCTGCACCCTACTGAGAACTCTATTATTTTGTGAATTGTAGTTGTGCCTATACGGCCTACAGTGCGTTCTGACTCATTTCATTGAACGAGTCTTCTTGAGAGGTTGTGGGGTGTTCAACAGTTTGTAATATAGTTAGTATGACTTACCGCATGCTTTGCTTTGCAACATGTTCAGGAGCCCTTCTTTTGGTGTTTGAGCGATGGGTTTGGAGTGACACAACAATGCGAGGGCGCTGAGGCCTGGATTGGTGTACAGTCTGTCAATGTGCCAAATGACCAAATGTAGGGAGATTGATTAACAAAGTATATGAGTGCGGTCGTCACTTTTTTTTGCACGGCTCAATTTCACAAAGGTCTTGATGTCAGAAGATGTTGGAAGTATGACTATCCCTTTCTGAGGCTCGGAAGGACTTCTACTCCGTGGCGGCTTTCTTAGCCATGATTCTATACTGGGTGCTGCTTGTTGACCTTGCAATTTTCTCCATGCGCATTTCAGCATACGTCTTGGTTTGCGGGCGTGTGGCGGGAGAAGTTGGTCTTTTCCTGGTTGCATTCGTCCTGCTTTTGCTCGCGTCTCTCGGCCACGTCGCCCTTTCAACTTGGGACATCCCAGTATGCTCTTCGTTTTGATGCGCAATTGGAATTCCGAGTGTTTGAGGAAACCACGAGGGGAAGTTGTTATAACATGTTATAACCAAAGTAGTTTGAGTCTAAGCAACTCCAATTAGGTAATTACTGTAGTCCATGTCGAACAGTAAACCACATCAGCGTTCCATGGTTGCTGAGAAGCCTTCCAAGACCTTCAAATTGTCGGGGGAACTTGCAACGACATCAACTCACCGATTTATATATATAATTGGATCTCTCCCGGCCGCCGGCCGGTGGCGCCGTTGGGAGTTGAAGAAAGTTTAGAATAGGGATTTGGTGGCGTTGGTGATCAAGGCTGGTGGCTGGTCCAGTGCCACTGGCTGCCATCCCTCAGGTTCAGCACTGCTATCAGTTCTTTATACCATGAGATGCCATCGAAGGCTGGAGCAGCTGTATGGCTGGAGGAGTTGACAGCTATGAGCCTGAGGACGGAAATAGTTTGCATTCTGTTGCACAAGGCAATCGAAATCATAAATCAAATATTTAAGACTTCAGCTCTTCCACAACTCTTCCAAAGTGTTTTGGAGTCAAAGCTGTTTTTGTCCAACGATCGGGTGTTTTTGTTACTGGGTGGACGTTTGAGGGATTTTTTATTTTTTTTGTATTTCTGCAATCTTTTTACCTATCAACAGCTCGCCCT